TTTAAAAAGTGTGAGCATGTGTGTGGGAGCATGTGCATGTGTATGTAGGAGTGTGTGTATTTGTTCATGTGTGTAGGAGCATAGGCATACATGAGTATTTGTGTGTGTGTGTGTGTGTGTGTGTGTGTGTGTGTGTGTGTGTGTGTGTTTGTAGGCTGGAGGACAGTGTTGGGTATCACCCTCAGGAAAGCTGTTTGCCTCTTTGGAGATAGTCTTTCTCTCTGGCTGACCAGTGAGTCCCCACACCTGCCTGGCATTTTTTTTTTTTTTTTTTTTGGTTTTTCGAGACAGGGTTTCTCTGTGTAGTTTTGAAACCTGCCCTGGATCTTGCTCTCGAACTCACAGAGATCCGCCTAGCTCTGCCTCCTGAGTTCTGGGATTAAAGGTGTGCGCCACCATAGCCTCTGCCTGGCATTTTTATGTAGGCTTTGGGGACCAAACTCAGGTGTTTATGCTTACAAAGCAACTGCTTTATCAATAAGCCGTCCCCACACGCCCCCTATGGAAGAAATGGAGCCTGTTGTTTTGGCCTTTTTAATGACTGGCACTTGAAAAGATGTAATGCTTAGCAGTATCTGGACGAGCTACAGAGGAATGATAAGGAAGGCCGTATAGATTTGCTTATTATTTTATCAAGTACGTGATTCAGAATGGTTCTTTCACACTAGTGAATAGAAGCAAAAGGAATCAGAGCTCATCTGAGAGCACAGGGTGAGGTGAAGAGAAGCTGCCAGTGTTTGTCACACTGTGACCGATGACAGGGACAGTCTCTTACAGCCCCCTCCCACTCCTTCCCTTCCCCTCCTAGATACGATAGGATGTAAGGGTAGATTATTGAATCTACATTTAAAGAGCAACAATTTGTTTGAAGTGTTTTACATTGCTATGGATTTTAGTTCATTGATACAAGTTTCAAGTTAATTTTGTTATGCTATATATACATTTCTACTCTTGTTTAAGGTATTATGTTTATGCAACTCATTTAAAATTGTAATGTATAATTAAGAAATACAGATTAATAATTAGTCATCTATGATAATCAAACTTAGAGTCATGTTAGTTAAGTTTTCTAGGTATATATGGATATGTTTCGATTAGGTGGGTAATCTTCAAACACTTTAAAGACCTACAGAATATGGCATTTAAAATGTTTTAAAAACTTAGACTTTCTGGACAATGAGACATGTCTGCTCCTGGCAGCACCAATTTACTTCAAAGAGGAAGATGGGCATTGAAGACATTCCATATGGAGTTTTCTTCTTGGCAAAATAGTCATTTGGGCAAGAAACTGTTCTTGCCTGGACTGCTTGACAGTATGTTGTATAAACTGGATATACAGAACCCATAGGAAAATGACCACTAAACTTTGCCTGAACAGGGTGAGATGGTCCTTCAGGTTCCTGCTTCACAGAAGATACTGCCAGACATTCTGCAGGACACAGAGGAAAGTGACTGATGAACTTTGCCAATAGGCAAAACAATCCTTCAAATTTCCTGCTTCAGAAGAAGTCTGCCAGAGACTTTAGGCCTGTAGGCTGAAGATGGATGCCCCAATGTTGCAGAGGAACTTTGGGTGACTGTCCAGGCAGCCAGATGTCTTTGTCATTTCTAGATTTTTGAAAGTTGCTTACAATGCACTTCCTGTTTACTTAGGTAATATTATATCCTTCAGGGTCTTTGATGGAGTTGAAGACTAGATAGTTATAGTTTTCCTTAGCTATGATAAAAGGTAAATTAAATATAAAACTTTAGACTCACAAATATAAGATAGATGATAGAATATTTTCTTTAATTTTATCAAATAGAAATAGACTAGATATTGTAACTGTAATTCTTGCTTGGTAATTGTTTTGTTATATATAATTTTACTATGTTAAAGTTAAACCCTTCCTTTTTGATTAGACAGAAAAGGGCAAGTGCTGTGGGATGTCTTTCTGTACACTGTGAATATGTGTTGCTCTCATTGGTTGATAAATAAAGCTGTTTGGCCAATGGTGATGCAGAATAAGGTTAGGCAGTACATTCAAACTGAAGATGGAGACGAGGAAGGGTGGAGACAGGAGAGATGCCAGCTTGCTGCCCAAGAAGCAACAAGATGCCAGCAGACTGGTAATGCCATGGCCGTGTGGCAACATATAGATTAATAGAAATGGGTTAATTTAAGATGAAAGAGCTAGTTAGCAAGAAGCCTGAGCCAAAGGCCATACAGATTGTAATTAATATAAGCCTCTGTATGTTTACTTGGGACCGAGTGGCTGCGGGACCGGGCAGGACACAGGAAAACTTCTGACTACACCCCCCCTTCACATATTTATTTAGTATATTTTATTTTAATGGTCTTGCTGTATTACCCAGCTGATATGGACCCCTGGCCTCTATTTTCTGTCTCACTCTCAGTAGCTGGGACTACAGAACATTCTACCAACACCAGCCTTAACACTTGCATTTTATAGATAAATGTGTAGGATTACACAGTGAAGTGAGATTGAACAATATATAAAATCCTATCAATCTGTAAGTATATGTTTAGTAGGGACCAATGATTCAATCAAATCTAACGTTGCTCATTTTAACAAATAATAATAATGTGAAAATTGAGTTAAGGTCAAGGTTAAGATGTAGCGAAGCTCCTGAAAAATCAGTTAATGTGCTTGCTCCTGGGATCAGCAGATCTGAGTGGCTGCTGTGCTGGGGGCGGCTCCGGAGAGAAGTGAATAGTGGTAGAGGTGTGCTTCAGGGATTCAGGGGACGTTTGTCATGCAGCAGAGTGAGTGAGAGTCAAGTCCCAAAGGAAGCCGCTTCTTGAGGAGTTTTGTTGTCTGAATATAATGTTCCATTGTTGAAAATGCTGAACTAATTCAGGGCTATACTTAGAATGCAAAACCTTCTTTACAATTCCTGCTCTCCAATGCATTATAGTTCAGATTGATAAATCTGCTTACAGATAATTTTTTATGTGTCTCAACAGTTTTTTGGGGGGAATTACATTATCCTAATTCTTTAACTTTCTTCTGCGTTCTTGAAATAATTTAATCTCATGTACATATTTCCCTGTCAGTAGGATGAATTTCATTTGTTCATTTTGAGGGTGTTGCCCAGGCTGTCTTAGAACTCCCAGGCTCAAGCTGTCCTCCCACCTCAGCTTCCTGAGTGCTGGGATTCCCTGCATGCATTGCAGCCTCATCTAGGAACTTGCTCCCTTACCTAAAAAGAAGACACCATTATTTATCTAGATTTTCCTGATTATTGGGCATCTTAGTTTTCAGTCAATTACAGCATCCTTATAGAGATATATTTATTTGCTCTCAGGTGTGAAGTGAGTTTAAATGATGTATAGGTGAAGGAGGAGGATTATATTTTCCAGGCTGATGGAACAATGTGTAGTTTGAACAACACTTGAAGACAGTGGCCAGCTTGTCGGCCAGGAAGAAGTATTCTGGCTTCTGTGCTGTGGGTATGCCGCCTCCTGTGTTCTTGAAGCATATGCAAGAAGAGCTCATTTATAATGGCACATGCTTGCTGAATAACTTGCAGTTTTTTTTTAATTTTGGAGATTTAAAAGCTTTAAAATTGTGTGTCCTTAGATGGAGCTGATAAAGTATTTGTTCAAAGGTCACCCAGGGTAGCTATGGAAATAGGAAATAGGGTTTATATCCTGGCTGATTTTGTTTAGTTCATTGCTTGAGAATAGGAAGGTAGTCTCCCATTACTATCCAATTAAAACGAATTTTGGTTAGTTCCTAAAATAACTGTTGGAGAATGGCTAGAACATCACGTGGGTCCATGAGATGGCATGGGGCTGTGGTTGGAGCCCTGTGGTAGAATGTCTCCGTGACATGCCTGAGGGTTTGGATTCCATTGCCAGCACACACAGAGAGCACATGTAACTTATGTTTTATTACACACCACTTTTAGTGTAAAATCTTACCCTTAAGGCATTTTAATGGCAGCTGTCTAACTTCAAACATTTCTGGTTTTGGAGTGTGGCTTGTTGGTGGTCTCAGTTGCTCTCTCTTTGTCATTGAGAGCATCTGCCTTACTGTTTACTTTCTTCTTTTTGTGTGACCTGACCTTAGCTGATTTTTCTGTATTAAAACAACATTGACAGGGGAAAATTGTCTTTATGAGTTATTTCTCACAGTAAAGCCTCTGTGATTGTTAGTGAAGGCTCTTTGGTTTCATATACTTCGCTGTCTACATATCAGAGTCAGTTAAAGCTCAACTATTAAAATGTTTTATTCTTTTTTTGAAAGTTAGGCTTTTGGATGATTTTATTTGATTAGTGTCCTTTCTGTATTTTCTGGTATCTTGCTTACGTTCTCTTATTCATTTTTTTTTTTTTTTTTTTTTTTTTTTTTTTTTTTTGGTTTTTCGAGACAGGGTTTCTCTGTGTAGCTTTGCGCCTTTCCTGGAACTCACTTGGTAGTCCAGGCTGGCCTCGAACTCACAGAGATCTGCCTGGCTCTGCCTCCCGAGTGCTGGGATTAAAGGCGTGCGCCACCACCGCCCGGCCTCTTATTCATTTTTAAAAACACACAAAACCGTTCAGATTACTGTTATTAATTTGAATCATATTAGTGATTCAAAGTGAATTGGCCTGGGGATGGCAAGATGGCTTGGCATTAAGACCATTTGCTCCTCTTCTGGAGGACCCGGATGCGGTTCCCCACACGGCATCAGAAGCCTCAACTGTCTCAACTCCAGCTTCTGGGGGTCTGATACCTCTGGCCTGCTTGGGCACTTGTGTACTTGTGCGCATACCACACCAGACACACATAACTACATGTAATTGAAAATAAATGTTAAAATACGCTAGCCTATTGTATTCTCTTATTGGTTTAAACTATTATCTGTGCCATTGCATGATCATTACATTTACATAAAGGATAATTTTTAACTATTCATATCTTTGTCTTCATCTAGAATGAAAAGTTATTTTTCAAGAGTAAAGTATGCCTTTAAAGAAGTAAACTAACCTACTTTATATTTAATTCTCCTAGGGCTGCCTTGGAAGAAGTAGAGGGAGACGTGGCAGAGCTGGAACTAAAACTCGATAAGGTAAACTTTGAAAAATATAATTCTTATTTTCCATAATGAAAGGTTAGTGCCCACAGTAGGAGTTGGCTTAGTTGGGGTCTCAGTGTGAGCAGGTGCTGCCACCCTGATTTGACACCCCAGGGAATGAAGCCTGGGGACGTACAGTATGCCTGTTCAGTTAACTGTCAGAACAAGGGTTTGTGTCCACATCGGACTCCAGAAGTCACAGAGCTTCCTTTACAGTGTTGGAAGTCTGTTTCTGTCCTCTCCATCAAAAGGCCTCATGTATCATTTTTGATACTTAATGAATCTTATGGATAACCTGATGATCCTTGTTGTAAGTTTAGGTGTGCTCGGTTCAAATACAAATAAAATTTAAAGTGTTCATTCCATTTTTAACCTAATTCTAGAATGCTTAAAATACTTAATGGTTATATAGTTATATTTTATGTAAGAGTAAATCTAGGCTGATTCCCATCTTTGCTGTTGTTACTGACAATGGTTTTTGGATGTGTATCCATGAAGCATTATCTGCTGCGTACCAGGCAGAAGCGTTCGAGTGAGAAATACGTGGCCTTTGACCCATCTATTCAGACTTTCCTTTGTAACTGCTGTTCGGTGACATCTCTCCAGGTTCCTAGATACAGGCGTATGCATAGATTACATACCTATCCTGACAATGATTTCCTATTGTACAGTTAAATGGTATTGCTGTGAAAAGCAGTCTTTTCAGACCTTATGGTACATAGGCATCACCTGGGCATCTTTTGTCGGGGTGGTGCAGATCCTGATTCAGTCAATCTTAAACCAAAGAACTTTTGAATCTTAAATTATCAAAACACTGGAATTCTAGAGTCTTTTTTAACCAAAGGGAACTCAGAGAGTGTGAAAATGTAGCAGTGTTTAAAATGTTGCTCCTTGACCCTTGACTTTCTTCTCAATGATCCATAGTTATTTTCTGTTTCTCTTGGTTAAGATCTTGACTCATAAAATAAGTATACCTGTCCAAATTCTTAAGCTATTGTGTTCTTGGGGCTCTGGGTATCACAGGGTAGATCACGAGGCACAAGGGATGGTGATTTTGGAAGAAGAACTTACAGAGGCGGTGCTTTCAGTTCCCAGATTGATAACATTGTGCAGGATAAGTTCTCCTTATGGCAGCACTGTAAATCATACCAGTGACAAACTGAGCTTGCTCGATGGCTCCTTAGTTCATGTTTATTCTGCATATATTGTATCCTACAGTAGTTGCGTTCTGTCTTGTGAATAGTGCTCCAGAGTGGTGGTGTTCATGGGTCCAGTTATCCGTTCTGCATGGTGTTCTGATGTTTGCAGCATCACAGTGTCTCACAGTTGCCGTCCAGATCGGCTCTCTATGTCTACCGCATCTTTTCTTTGGTGTGCTTGGTCCCTGTTGGTGGCGTAGACCCCTTTAAACCTCAGGTCAATTTCCACCGAACTTTGTTTTTTTTCCCTCTTGCATTGCATCATTTCTTGAATGCACTTTCACTTAAACTACTACAGTATTGTAATTTTTATTTTGTAGCAGAGCCTTGAGCTTAAAAGCACAGAGCCTGGAGCTGCCTAGTTTTGCACGAGGCTCTATCATGTAAGTTACATAGTTTTGGGCAAACTCCTCAGCTTTCTAGGCCTTGGTTTCTTATTTTCCAAACCAGGGAGAGTAAGAGTATGTCTCTCTCACAGGTATTGTAAGAATGATATGAGCTAGTTTATCATAGGTAAAGTGCTTAGCCTGGTTCGTGGGCGTGCCCGGTGAATGCTGTTTATTTTTATTTTCTTTCTTATGTGTGTGGATGTTTTAGCAGCATGTTTATCTCTGCACCATTTGTGTGCCTAGTGCCCATGGAGGGAAGAAGAGGATATTGTATCCCCTGGACCTGGAGTAACAGCTGCCACATGGGTGCTGGGAATTGAACTCGGATCCTCTGGAAGAGCAGCCAGTGCTCTTAACCGCTGTGCCATCCCTCCAGCCCCAACATGGTGAATTCTAAATAAACAATGATAGCCTCAGCAGACAGCTCCTGGGTGATGTAGACAGTCTTAAACAGCAAACAAACAAAAGACACTCTTCTGGCCTTGCCCTTACTGGGCACCCAGCCCTGTGTTTACTTATTTCTGATCTTCAGTACTGTGCTGCAAAGTTGGAGTTATCCTCAGTTAAACATGGAGGAGTGAGAGGAGAGAGAGATTACTTACTCACTAGTCAATGAGTTGTTTGTGCTTCTCTCAACTGGCAAATGCCTATGGCTCAGTAATCCTTAGTGAAAACTTGTTGGATGAATGAGTTAGGCTCCCAGCCTGACATTTTAGACCAAGTTGATATTTATGCTTAGGTAAAAACTCTCTTTTTAGCTTTTCATTACTCAGTTATATTTTTATCCATCACTGCCATTTAATAGGCAAATCTCTGCCCTTTCTTTCTACATCACCAAGTCAGCCTTCATCCTGGGTAGCTATAGTGTGGTTCCGGCTGTCAGCGTCCATTCTCCTGTGATGGTGACTTTGTGCTGATTCTGACACGTATGTCTGTGGCCATAGTCTCTGTCTCACGGCTCAGCTGCAGAGTGGTGATAACCCACTGTCTGATGTCTCCATCTCTTTAGTTCTCAGCCTCAGTACCACTCTATCTTAGGCCCCCTGCGCCTCTGGTCTTCTAGCCTGTTTTTTTTTTTTCCAAGACAGGGTTTCTCTGTGTAGCCCTGGCTGCCCTGGAACTCACTCTGTAGACCAGGCTGGTCTCGAACTCAGAGAGATCTAGCTGCCTCTGCCTCCCGAGTGCTGGGATTAAAGACATGAGCCAAAATTGCCCAGCTGGCATAGATGCTTTTAATAAAATGAAATTAATATATGTTTAAAAAGAGAACTCTTAAGAACCAAACAAGAATGTTAAAGTTGGCATTTTCTACAAGTGTGTAAATCCTAACATAACTCACTAGTACCCACAGAGTTCACTAGTCCTTACAGAATACAGTTCAAACAGTTGTTGACATTTCAATAGATTCCTAAGAAAATGGTTAAAAGAACCATTGGTACAGCCACATCCGAAACAAAGTTTATTACTAATTTTTGACTACAAAAAGGCAACCAACTTCTATATAAAACTATAAACAGCAGTGAAATATAAACATGTCACATAAACATTTGGTCCAGCAGCCTTTAATATTGATTAAAAGTCGATGAAAAATGTTTAGTTCAGTACCTCCCCCCCCCCCCCAAAAAAAAAAAAAAGCACAGCTGTCTTTTCCCTGGAATCATTAAGACCAGCACTGCTGTTTATACACCTACAGGATTTTTGGTGATTTAAGTAAACGCATCGCACCTTCTGTGTGAGTGAATTGTATGGTGTGGAGCATCCCCAAAGCTTGTGGGTCTGTAAACTGTAGGCGCATCTGCCCACACTTTTCTGTTTCTTTTTTTTTTAAATAAAGATTTATTTATTTATTTATTTATTATGTATACAGTGTTCTGCCTGCATGTGTCCTTGCCCTCCAGAAGAGGGCACCAGATCTCACTATGGATGGTGGATGATTGTGAGTCACCATGTGGTTTCTGGGAATTAAACTCAGGACCCCTGGAAGAGCAGCCAGTGCCCTTAACCGCTGAGCCATCTCTCCAGTCCCCACATTTCTGTTTCTTATCCTAAATTTGATCTTAAATACAAACCAATTTTGGAATCAATAAGATTTTTGACATAGAAAATCTTGGATTTTCGTGTCTGGAAAACCCTTGTATCTGAGCCCTGTCTTGTCCCCTCCTTCCCCTCCCTCTGGTCCATCCCACAAACGCCTGCTGGTGGGGAATGGTAACACTGCACAAGTGAAGACTCGCAGAACTCAGCCCTAACCCACCAGCATCCTGGTCCCTCTAACCAGCCCTACGGTACCAGTGACCTCCAGCCTGTGAGGTGGGTTCAGGGCTGACGCAATGAGGAAGAGACATTCCAGCAAAGCAACCGTCATCTGTTCTCAGAAGCAGTGACAAACTGCGGTATAAAAAAGAAATCAGCACACCAAACATAAAACCAACAGCATCCTGCATCTCCAACCATGGGCAGTGTTCTTGGTTGTTACCCAACGTTTTCTGCTTCTATATGAAGTACTTTTCTCTGGTTATCAAAATGCTGTTCTGACTGTAAGTCATAAACATTGAGAAGATTAGGAAACACCTTGTTCAGTCACTCTGTGACGCACTCACATGCCTGGCAAGCATAGAGGAATTAGGAATGAAAGGGGTTGCTTGCTGTGAGCTGGACACAGGAGTTTTCAAGTAAAAGCCATCAGAAAGAAGAGCAAGAGGGCTATTAATACTGGGCCCTGAAAGGTCCTGGACCTGTTTGGTGAGAACTTAGGAACAGAATTGCCCTGGGCAGTTTTAAGAACACCTAACCTGAACACTGCCGTAGGTGCAGCCAGTACGGCACTCCTTCTTAAGTTGCCACAGAAGTGGTCGCGAGTGTTCACTGACTGCAGTCCCTACAACCTCGGTGTCCTGCTCCCTGCGCAAGTGTCCCTGACCCGTCACAGCCACAGGTGACTGTCCCCAGCTGCTGCTCTGCTTCAGGGGCCATTGCTGCTTCCAGCAACTGTTCAGCTCTCTCTGGATGGCACCGTTGGTGACCTGCTTCCTTTTACTGTGCGTATTCTTCTCATGCCTCTTGGCAAATGCCTTGGCACAGCAGCCACACACAGAAGGCTTTCTGCCTGTGTCTCCTGTCATGGTCTGTGAGGTGAGATTCATGTGTGAAGGCTTTGTCACACATGTGGCATGCAAACGGACTTTCATCGCTGTGAACCTTTTGGGTTTCTCTGAGTCAGGGACACAGATGAATGACTTCCTGTTCACCTCAGCTATATGGCTTAGTCCCCGTGTAGACTTTCTGGTGTTCTTTTAGGTGGGCCTGGGTAGAGAAACCTTTTGTATACATTTCACAAACAAGTGGCCGATCCACTGAATGGAATTTGCAGACTTCTCCGTCTGCCTTTGTTAGGAAGAGTCTTACCATGTGCCTGGCAGGCAGTTTGCTCCCGATGGCGACCGTACCTCACATCCTCCGAAGAAGTCACTGGCAGCTGCTGTCTAGCCTGGAGTCTGACCGCCCTTTCACCTCACTCACCTCCTCAGTAAATGCTAAGGCTCGAGGCATCTGGGACCCCAGATCTCTGGATTCTCCTCACTGCTTAGCTCTTCCGGAAGTTCTTTTTGAACGCTGAGCATAGTTGTGGGTGACTTGCTGTCCTGACTTGGGGAGGGAGAGTTCCTTCTGCTGTGTCACTGGAGGGCCGTCATCCCCATCCTCAGTCTCTTTTCTTTTTTCTTTCTTTCTTTCTTTTTTTTTTTTTTTGGTTTTTCGAGACAGGGTTTCTCTGTGTAGCTTTGCGCCTTTCCTGGAACTCACTTGGTAGTCCAGGCTGGCCTCGAACTCACAGAGATCCGCCTGGCTCTGCCTCCCGAGTGCTGGGATTAAAGGCGTGCGCCACCACCGCCCGGCTTTCTTTCTTTTTTTAATAAAAGACTTTATTTATTTATCATGTATACAGTGAGTGTTCAGCCTGCAGGCCAGAAGAGGGCACCAGATCTCATTACGGATGGTTGTGAGCCACCATGTGGGTGCTGGAAATTGAACCCAGGAGCTCTGGAAGAACAGCCAGTGCTCTTAACCTCTGAGCCATCTCTCCAGCCCCCATCCTCAGTTTCTTCCACATCATCATCTTGAGCATCTCCACTGTGCACTTTAATAGGACCCCATGCCTTGACCATTGTCTTCATCCTAGACATAACACACTTCTGAGGACAGAGTTCATCCAAAAACTGGGTACCAAGAATCTGACCCAGTGACATTATCAACATCCTCCTTTTTGTGGAAATCTGTGCTGTGTACATGTATTTCAGGACCTCTTCAAATATATTAGAATGAAGGCAATCTATAGCTAACTGAAGAGTTGCTACCTCAGAAACAAGTTTATGATCATCGTGCTTAGATATATGCTTTTAGACATACTGATGAAAAACTCCAACAATTCAGGCTATTTTGTGTGTGTGTGTGTGTGTGTGTGTGTGTGTGTGTGTGTATTTTCCCAGATAGGGTCTCACTATGTAGCCCTGGCTCTCCTGGAACTCACTCTGTAGACCAGGTTGGTCTCGAACTCACAGAAATCTACCTGCCTTTGTCTCTCAAGTGCTGGGTTTAAAGGCATATGCCCCACCGATCTGCGTCATGCTATTTCATTAATACCTTGAACATAAAGATCTTCAGATCAGAATAACTGTGATTCAGATACCGAATATTTCTTATAAACAGAATCATTTAGCCACTTAAGACTGGCTGCTTTCACTTAAAGTAATGTATGTTGCCAGGCAGTGGTAGCGCACACTAATCCCAGCACTCGGGAGGCAGAGGCAGGCAGATCTCTGTGAGTTCGAGGCCAGCCTGCTCTGCAGTGTGAGTTCCAGGACAGCCAGGCTACACAAAGAAATCCTGTCTCAAAACATCTCTCCACCCCCCAAATGTATGTTTATACTTTTTGATTTTTGCGGCAGTGTGTCATTTTGTTGTCTAGGCTGGTTTTGAACTCCCATGCTAATGATTCTCCTGCCTCAACCTCTGAGGCCTAGTGCTGTAGGCACCATCATGCCTGGTGGACTTCCCCTTTTCTGAAGCTTAATGATGTCGTCTGCCCCATACCTGGACTCTAAAGGAAGTGCAATCTGTTTGGGAAGGCTACTGATTCTTGACATGCCAGCTGCAGTTTCTTCCCTGCAGATCGCAGGCCTCCTGTGGCCTCCGCTGTGGCCTCCGCTGTGGCCCTGCGTGGCCCTGCGTGTCTGGCTGCTGAGATTGACACAGTGCCCTTCATTCTGCTTGGTGCGAATGTGTCTCTTTCTTCCTCCTAATCTAGAAACAACCTGTCCTTTTGCAGTAATAAAAGGATCTCTTTCTGTGCAAACCCTCCACGCCTGGCTCCTTTCCCTTCTCTGCCTCCTCTTTGTTTCTTTTTTTTTTTTCTTTTTTTTTTTCGAGACAGGGTGTCTCTGTGTAGCTTTGCGCCTCGCCTGGATCTCGCTCTGTAGACCAGGCTGGCCTCGAACTCACAGAGATCCGCCTGGCTCTGCCTCCCGAGTGCTGGGATTAAAGGCGTGCGCCACCACCGCCCGGCCTCTTTGTTTCTTATAAAGCGGAACAGAGGCAAGCAGCAGTCAGGAAGCTTGCTGACAGGAAGTCGACTCTGCGGAGTGGTTACCCCGCCCGCACCTGGGGCCGCTTGGCTGAGGAATTTTTGTGTGTTGTCTCTTGATAGAAGCGTCCTCTATGCTAATACCGTTGTTCTCATTCCACGGGTAGACATAGGAGTTTGTTAAGGCTAAGGTCACCTAGACCCACTTAGATGGCATTAGGATTTGAATTTAAATGGATTGAGCTGAAAATCCTGTTTTAATCATGCTATACTATTAGCCTTTCCTTTTTTTTTTTTTTTTTGGTTTTTCGAGACAGGGTTTCTCTGTGTAGCTTTGCGCCTTTCCTGGAACTCACTTGGTAGTCCAGGCTGGCCTCGAACTCACAGAGGTCTGCCTGGCTCTGCCTCCCGAGTGCTGGGATTAAAGGCGTGCGCCACCACTGCCCGGCTTTAACCTTTCCTTTTATCTTAGTTATTTTTGATACTTAATTTGTTGAGTAATATTACCTGCATGGAACAAAATTGAAAGACTAAAGAAGTGTACCGAGTGAAAGTTTCTCACCGTCTGATACCTTGGCTAGAGGAGTACTCTGACCTAGTTTCTTACGAATTCTTACAGATATCTTCTAAGCATGCAAAATAATTTGCATGTATTTTATTGAAACGTTAGTACTTTTGAAAATCTAATTTTCTTCTTAATCTGTTTTGGATGCCATTAATTTATCACCTTTTGTAGGGCTGTCTTTGTTTTTGGTGCCAGGGATTGAATTTGAGCCTGTTGCCTGCGAGGCGACCTCTACAGCTAAGCCGCCTTCCTAGCGCTGGCCTTTTCTGTGTTTTTTAGTATATTGTGGGCTCATATCACACTCGTATGTCACGTGGATGAGTTACAATGAAGACATAATGACGGAGGGAGGGAGCAGGGAGAGGCTGATGCAGGCTCAGTCCCGAGGCTGTAGTCAGTGCCTAACACAGGCATTGGAGGACTGCTTCTTTTCCTAGTAGTTTCCGGTAGAGGCTGATTAATCCTTTCTTACATCGGCTCTGATGGGGTGATAGTGAGCAGCATGACTGACTAACTTATAATACCGGTTGATGCACCTTTACTCCAGTGTACCACAGATAAACATTTTAGTTAGATTGTCATCACACGGCTGCCCACTTACCCTTCTCTTTCTTCTAGGGCATACTGTGTGTGTGCACGCGCACACGCGCGCGCGCCCAGGAGCTGAACTCAGGGCTTTTCACCTGTGAGGGAAGTGCTCTACCGCTGAGCTCCATCCCCATCCCCTCTTCTAGGAGGATTTAATAAATGCTATGGCCTTAAATATTACCAGTTTGAATTTGACTTGATAAGAAGAGATGGCATATTGTTATCACATGGCCTCTGGGGCCTAAAAGGTTGATTTTTTTTTTTTTTTTGTATAACTCTTCCTGTGACTTGACCATCTAAGGCAAAGGAAAATTCTTTCAACACTTCCTAGTTCGTGATGAAATGGGATTTATAGTGAGTAGGCTAACTCACGTAGTAAGTGCTAACACTTGTTTGACTAAGGCCCTCCTTCCACAGTCATTTTCCCTCCTGACTCTGTCTCTCTTCCTTTGCAGCTCGTGAAGCTTTGTATCGCAATGATTGATACCGGCAAAGCCTTTTGTGTTGCAAATAAACAGTTCATGAATGGGATCCGAGACCTGGCACAGTATTCTAGTAACGACGCTGTAGTTGAGGTTGGTATCACTGAAATTACAGGGACAGTGATGAGTGTAGCGGATCGTCGCATGGTTATGCATCCATCTACCTACTGATGGTTCTAGTGAACTTAACCGGAGAAGGGCTGCCATTTCTTGGAGCCATGCTCCCCAGTTCTGTTTTTTGAGGTAATTTGATTTGTTGTGGGCATATGGAGCATCACTGCCTTAACCTTGCTTCACAGGATTCAGGTTTGCATTCAGATAGGTGAGCTGACGCAGCCAGTGGTCAGGAGCAGAAACCAGTAGTTGATAGTGTGGTGAGCGGAATATTAGTCTACCCAGAACAGGACCAGCTGTGTGCTTGGAGCTGTGTGGCTTCTGCCCGGCCTATGGTCCTGTGTTCTCTTGTATTGCTCGCTGTACTCTAGTGCTGCTGATGTTTCTTTCATGATGAAAACTAAATTGTGAAGAAACAGGTATATTTGGATATTTGGATAGTTGCTAACAGGGGCGCACTATTGATGCTTTCAGACATGTTGTAGATGGGGCAGTACTAATTCTTTGATTTTTCTTGGACTTAACATGTTCCCACATGTAGACTTGTGGTAGACATGACCTCTGCAGAGCATGTCCAGTGAGCCATTGAGATTGTCCTTGGAAGTAAATGTTGTTGTTTACAGGCTAATTTGATTTTTCTGTCAGAAATGCCAAGTAATATTTTTATGACTAATTTTAGTAGCTCTTAAGTGACTTGATTTTCCTTTGGTTTCTTCCTTACAGACAAGTTTGACCAAGTTTTCTGACAGTCTTCAAGAAATGATAAATTTTCACACAGTAAGTATCAGTGCGTAGGTGATGCCATGACTGTGGGCACTCTTGAGTGGCAGTCTTTTATGAGATGACTGATTTGATGACTTGATTGGGCTTTATATTGGGGTGGAAATAAAAACACCGTATGTGTGTGTGGTGGGGAGGGCGGAGAGTGAATTCACTTTCTTCATTTCCAGTTGAAGTGTAATGAGTTTAGTGAGCATTGCTTGTGTGCGCCACGGTTGTTTGCTGGAGCGTGTGCAGTTTGCCAGTGGCTGCACCACTGAAGAACAATGATGCTCTCCCATCGTAAACTTCATATCAGAAAATAATACCCATTAAAGTTATTTCTCCACTTTGAGTTCTGTGTAGTTTTTTTTTTTTTTTTTTTTTTTTGGAGGGGGTTGGGTTAATCTTCTTGTGGCTGAAGTTATAGATCAGTGTTTTGTTTTTTTTAAATTGTAGTTAACTGTTTCAAAAATCGGCACATGCAGCTCTCTGCCTTAAAAAAAGATGTTTTATGCCGGGCAGTGGTGGCGCACGCCTTTAATCCCAGCACTTGGGAGGCAGAGGCAGGCAGATCTCTGTGAGTTCGAAGCCAGCCTAGTCTACAGAGCGAGATCCAGGAAAGGCACAAAGCTACACAGAGAAACCCTGTCTCGCACAACCAGAAAAAAAAAAAAAGATGTTTTATTTCTATTTGTGTCTTATGTGTATGAGGGTTTCGCCTACATGTGTGTGCATGCCTGGTGTTGGCAGAGGTCAGAGGAAGGCATCAGACACCCTGGAACTGGAGCTACAGATGGTTGGGAACCAGTGTGTGGGTACTGGGGATCCAACTGAGTCCTCTCGAGAGGCAGCCAGTGCTCTAACCACCGAGCCATCTCTCTGCCCCTGACCCCATCCTGTCATAGTAGTCCAGTTCCTCCAGGACTGATTTCTGCAGTCCTAGGAGGTAGTTTGGCTTTAGCGCCTCCCTGGTATCGCGGAAGTAGTTGCTTGTTGTGTGTTGTCTCCAGTGTACATGTTGTGTGTGGTATCCAGTGTGTTCGGTGTGCTGTGGTATCCAGTGTCCTCGTTGTGCTGTGGTCTCCAGTGTGTTCAGTGTGCTGTGGTCTCCAGTGTATTCGGTGTGCTGTGGTCTCCAGTGTGTTTGGTGTGCTGTGGTATCCAGTGTCCTCGGTGTGCTGTGGTATCCAGTGTGCTTGTTGTGGTGTGGTATCCAGTGTGTTTGGTGTGCTGTGGTATCCAGTGTTCTTGTTGTGGTGTGGTATCCAGTGTGTTCGGTGTGCTGTGGTATCCAGTGTGCTCGGTGTGGTGTGGTATCCAGTGTGCTTGTTGTGGTGTGGTATCCAGTGTGCTCGTTGTGCTGTGGTCTCCAGTGTGTTCGGTGTGCTGTGGTATCCAGTGTCCTCGGTGTGCTGTGGTATCCAGTGTCCTCGGTGTGTTGCAGTCTCCAGTGTGCTCGGTGTGCTGTGGTATCCAGTCTCACGGAAGGACGTTGTTTCTTGTCTTACGCTGCAGAAGCTTAGAGCATACATATCTATAGATGTATCTTTTCACCTGTATATCTTTTTGGTATGAAATAGTCACTTGGAGTTGAAGTATTTGTTACCATTGATTTATTTAATATCTTTTTGAGACAAAAAGATTCAGTTTGAGGGAGATAATTTTGAACTACTGTATTTGTCTTCTGGGTGTAATTAATGAAAAATTGTTCAATGTGATGCAGATAGACTTGCTTAGCAGGTCGTATGATATGAATTATGAAATGCAGTAATGCATGCCATACGTCCAGAAGGTGGTAATAGTGTTTGTATGTATGTTCATACAGTTCTATGTTGACATGTTTTAAATAAATTATATTGAAATATAAAAAATTATTTAGTAAAGAAAACAAAATATTAGTTCACTTTAGTCAGTCTAGTGTTATTTGCATGTATGATTAGAAAGTGGAATTTTCAAAAAAGATTTTGAGATTATAAACCTATACTACTCCTAAGAAGATTTAATAAATCTTTGCTTTAATAAAGCAAAATTCGTTTGCTTATGTAACTTTTTCAGTCACTAAAAACAAGAAAGAATGAAACTTTATGAGGGAATGCTTGGGTTAGCTCTCATCCCAAGCCAGGTGAGAATACCGAGGAATAACAGCTGACATAAAGACCAGTTTCCTCCAGGAGAGTCACCCAGCACGGGGTGACGATGCCGAGGAATCAGCTGTGTGCACTGTCACTGTTAGAGAAAACAGAGAAATAATGACAAGCGGTGGTCGTGAGTTGTGACAAAAAAATTCAAAATGGAGCCGGGCAGTGGTGGCGCACGCCTTTAATCCCAGCACTCGGGAGGCAGAGCCAGGCGGATCTCTGTGAGTTCAAGGCCAGCCTGGGCTACCAAATGAGTCCCAGGAAAGGCGCAAAGCTACACAGAGAAACCCTGTCTCGAAAAAACCAAAAAAAAAAAAAAAAAAAAAAAAAAAAATTCAAAATGGAAACACGGAGGGAGGAAGGAATATAGCTTTGCCCAAGGAAAAATTCCTCTCTTAACTCTGTTAGCAGAGGAAGTCATAACAACATCAAAATAGAGCTCAGCAGCTGGAAACCCCAACTGTATCAAGTGGTTTTTATAAAACATAACCATCAGTATCTTGTGTGGCTGACAGTATCTCAGGGCATTTGACCAGCACTCCCCATACTTGACTCCTTAGAAATACACACACCCTTGTTTATGGGGCGGGATGTGAAGTGGCAGCTAGCTTCTGCTCTTGGTTTTGCTGTTGGCTTGTCTGTCGCTAGAGGAGTCGACATGTCTGGTATGAAGACTGGCTGGCATTGGCTGGGTGTCTAGCACCTCTTCTTTTCTTTTCTTAAAAAAGATTTATTTATTTATTCATTTATTTTATGTGTATGAGTGCTCTGTCTTCCTGTACACCAGAAGAAGGAATCTGATCTCATTACAGATGGTTGTGAGCCACCATGTGGTTGCTGGGAATTGAACTCAGGACCTCTGGAAGAGCAGTCAAGTGCTCTTAACCGCTGAGCCATCTCTCCAGCATCCCACCTCTTATTTCTTAAGACCAAGGTCTAGAAATCACATTGCTTCCTCTTCTGCTGCAATCTTTTGATCAAAGCAAGATTCACAGGCAGGCCAAGTTCAAGATAAGAGAATGAAGTCTAACTCTTGGTTGTACAGTGACATGCTTCTGCAGGCATGGGCATGGGAGAATTGTTGGTAGCTTCTGTATATAAAACTGTCTATCACAGTTTTAAACATCTAATGTGTGACATTTGTATGTATGTAGTAAATTGGTCTTCATTTATTAATGACATTTATATCAAAATTCTTTTTTAAGACAGGGTTTCTCTGGCTGTTCTATAGCTTGCTCTGTAGACCAGGCTGGCCTTGAACTCACAGGGATCTGCCTGCCTCTGCCACCCAAGTGCTGGGATTAAAGATGTGCACCGCTACCGGCTGGAGCTAGCTTCTTGGTTAAGGATGAGAGTTCACGTCTACTTCTCCCTCTTAGTGCTGGGATCCCATCTGGCTTGGACCTGTGTAGACCTTGTGCATGCTGCCACAGTCTCTGTGAGTTTATGTGTACATCAGAGATCCTGATTCTTAAATAGTGGTCCCTGGCCCAGTAACCTCAGTATCACCAGCATCACCTGTAAACTTGTTGGACTTGCAAAGCCTCGGCCCCAACTCTAGATCTGTGTCATCAGAGAAGCCAGCAGCCAGTTAGAAAGTCACTCTTGGAGCCCACTGTTTCTCACAGGCCAAATCTAGTTCCTTGCTTTTATTTTTTTTTTGATTTTTTTCAGGTCAAATTTTATTGGAACACAGCTTTGTTCATTATTTTGAGTTTTACATTTACGGTAAGGTTGGATAATTGTGATAGTCAGTGCATGTCTCAGGATTAAAACACTCATGTAGAGCCCTTTATAGAGGAAGACTTGTGCCTTGTGAACTTGTGCCTTGTGAACCTCTTAATTTTTGTCTCATTCTGGGGCTCTGAAACCCATCAAAGAGGCTGCTTTCTGCATTAGTGGGCATCATTTAGTAATTTAGCTGCCTTTGGTAAACGCTTCTCAGTGAAGTCAGGTGTGAGCCAGGCTGCAAACCAGCCTAATTAAGGTCGGAATCTCTGGTAGTAAGGACTAGGAATCCAGAAGTGTGTGGCTGGTTTGTCTGACTGTCTGTCTTTCTTTCCTGTTTTTCTGTAAAGCACCCCTGGTTGTTCTAATCTTCAGTTCAGTGTGGCCATAGAAACTAACTACCTGGAGATTTTAGTAAATGTAGATTTTGGTCCTTTCTCTTGACTGTTCCCTGTCATATCCTCCCCGTTCTCTCCCCCTACCTTCCCCCTCTCTTTCCTTTTTCCTTTTCCCTCCCCTTCCTCTCCTTCCCGACAGGGTCTCAGATAGTCCAGGCTAGCTCAGTGCTCACTGTATACCGAGGCTGCCTTCCACTTGTGAGCTTCCTGGTTCTGCCTCCCGTTCACTGCTGGCTCCTAGGCCTGCTCCTACATCCTGGGCAGTGATTCTGTTTCTGAGAAGTCTGAGTTGGTGTTGCACTCTCAGCCAGATCAGGCTGGCCGAGAACTCATGGCCCTTCTGTGTCAGCCTCTCAAATGCTGGAATTTCAGGTGTGTGCCATCATGCCTAGCCCTCAAATGTTAACCATTTGATTTTAATACATAACCCAGTAGAGAACCATTGCCTGAAGACAGAGGACAGGTCTATAGACACAGATTAACATGGGCAGAAGATGTAGAAGAAGTGAAACAAGTACAAATGTTTGTCACCTCTTGGAACTTGTAATATGAATCTTTGTTGTCAATCGAATGGATTTTGAGTCAACTAGGAGATACTCTGCTGGGCGGTCTGTAAAGACATTTTAGATTTAGCCAAGGAAGGAAGGCACACCCGAGTGCAAGGCTCTTGTCCCACGGGCTGAGTGAGGTTCTGGACTAAATAAAGAGACAAAAGCAGATGGAGCACTTTTCTCCTTTCTGACCCAATTGC